ACCATGCCTTTCAGCAGGCTGAAGCAGCGCGGCGACTCCCGCAGGATTATAGTGAAAGTAGACTCGCGGAGAATCTACCCCACTCTCTCAACACTCCCACACCGGGACCCTCTGTCAAGACAAAAGGCAAGAAGACCGGAGGGGGGAGGGCGCAGGCGGCTGGCGCGACTAACACTCAACACACATACCGACAGCATGCCTCGATAGGTAGGCTCCCGACTTGGAGCGCCAAAAAGGCCACATTAAGAAGGAGCCATTGAGCCTGACTCTCAGCCCGAAGCTAGCCACTCCATACAACACCCTAGACTGACTGTTTTGTCCAAGTTATCCCGTTAGTTGGCAACCCTCCAAGCCACGGCTTTTAGCGCACCGTGATAGTTTCAGGCGCATCAGACTGATTAAAGTGAGGAAATAAATGCGCTGAGGGCCGACCTCACTCTCTCCCCCACCGTCAGCAAAAGATCACCGCCTGGTTGATCGGTCGCCTGCAGTTTGATGGGTGCAATGCTTAAAAGGCAACCATGAGGCTCTCACAACATAAGGGAGCCACTAATAATTCCAGTGTCAGTTAGGGTAGGAAATGTCCTCGGGATCCCAAAATCATGGGGAAGGTATTGGATTGGTAATCTTTTAGGAATGAGAGGATGTGTCGGCATAAACAGGAGAGCACAGCCCAGAAGTGCCCGCTGGCTGAACTGCTGATTACGTAGGCTCTGGACCTAATAGTCCAGGTTAACCCAGGAGTGAGTTCGCGGTCCTTGTGAGAGCTCCGGGTGTCAGATCGGAATGATAGCAAGGCATGCGAAACGAATGCACAAACGCAGATGGCAATGAGCAGGAAAAAAGCCGACGTGGGCTTGTGGCAGCAGCGCGCATAGCGAGTACGCTGGCAAAATAACATTTACGATATGTCCGATTTCAATACAGTAGAGTCTCGGCTGACGAGCAACCCCATCTACGAGCATCTCAGGTAACGAGCGAGCCACTAACAGAAACTTTGCTTCGTTTAACGAGCTTCTGCTCAATTAACTAGTTGTCAGTGCATATGTGTGCGTGTCTGTGTCCACCGTTGAGTCTTGTTCCCAGGACATGGGTCATCGGTCGCCTGCAGCCAATCAGTGAACTGGTACAGTTTGATTGGCCACTTTTCGCAAGACGAGCGTTTCACATGAGTAGCTCGGTGCCGGAATGGACTAAACTCCTTAGCCGAGGTTTCGCTGTATATTGGTGCTTCACTACATGCGAGTCCAGGTGAGATCTCCACATTGCTGTCGCAGGATCGAGAGATTTATCCGTAAACCGGAGAACTAGAAACATTGTTATGATACCAAGCTAAAAACTGTTTGATAGTGTTAAATCGCTTCCTTTACGAATATACGGCTTACTGGTTACAATTTTGCGTGAAATAGATGAACGGAGTTACCGTTAAGACCTCGAAGTTAGGCTGTAAATATTTACATATACAAAGCTGTCAGCCAGCTTCTTGTGCTGTCTTATTTATTAAAGTCTGTGCTTTATATTTACCAACATCACAGGTTGTCAACTATGTCGTCCGATGTTTTGTTCTAGTGCAGGAGAAATATAATCTCTCTCTCTTCTCATTATTTCTTGTGTCCTCAAACAAGTGGGGAGGTAAAAATCCAAATGAATCTCTCGCTGCACGTCGCTCAATACCGCCAGCTGGATTTGGAATCCTTCAAGCGTTCGAAAGAGGACGAGGAATCACGCGGTGCCAAAGAATGGTAAATTCATTTTACATTTATGATGTCTTCATCTGAACGAGTGCTAGATAAAAATCTCCAGATGATTAGTTGAGTTTAACGGCAATTACTGAAATTGTTGATAGATTTAGGAGACTGTGAGGAATTCTGGGTCCGAAGCAGATAAGCCATTGAACGTGTCTAACAGGAATTCTGACAGTAGTGACTTATATGGATTGGGCGTTAGGACGTGAGCCCTTAACCGTAACACCTAACCGTAAAACGAACTCTGACGCGAAGAACTTAGCTGTAAATGCCTACTTAAATAAATATAGTAGCGAGCCTTGCATATTAAAATCATCCGACGGCACACCATATCCTTGCCAATTTTGCGACAATGACTCATTATTAAGACAAGAAGATTCCTTTCAGAAAGATTGAGGAAACGGCGTAAAACGTATTGCATCCACTTAAGATGAAAACAAAACTCCAGCTTCCTCGAAGTGCACAAGACACACCCGAAAGCAAGTTTTGGATGTTGAGCTGAAACGCAAGCGGTAACGTTTTTAAAACTGGAGCACGGTTGTATGTCTAAGTACCACGCAATAAATTCCACGAGAGGGGTTAGCGTTATTGTCAGAGTTAGGTGAGCTAGGGTCAGAGTGAGGGCTCTGGCATTTGCCTCAAGGCCATCTGCGTATTCGGGGTTCTTCTACCCGTGTCCATTTTGATTAGGAATAGACTGAGGTGTTAACACCACTAGTTTGCAGCCATGTCTATAATTTATCCAACAACTGATATGACGAATTGAAAATAAAACAGTTTCAGTGGTCAAAATTCAGGCACCTGACGTCAATAAGGGCTACTTGGAGGGGAGTAGCTCGCACGCATGCATTTTAGACAACTGCATACGATCTCGCCTCCGGTATTCTTGCCCCTATCTTTGTTGTGAATGTGACCAAAGCTGCGATATCACCGTCTACGTTAAGCCTTGTGTGAGCCCCCAAGGAAGAACACAACGAGAAGAACGAAAAAGTAGAAGTCTTTGAGAAAACCTAGTACAGCTTATTTAAGGCAAGCGAACGCGTGTATAGGACTGTACCAATCAGATTGTGGGCTCAAGTAAGGGGCGACTTCATTGGCTTTGTGACTCATGCAGTTGGAGTGTTAGAGTCCTGAGCTTGGGCGCAGCTGCGCGCTTCATCACGTGCACTTTGTGTGGGCGGACTAGTCGTCTGGCATGCGGATAACTCGTCAGGGCGGCGTGCACTCGCAGTTAAGCGCGGCCCAAAGAGTCTTGACATCGAGCACGGGTGAATGAGGTTAGAGAGGGTACGGTAGATGCAGCGCAGGTCTCCCATCACCTTAAACTTATTCATGTGCAATTTACTGTCCCTGCGCCAACATGTTGTGGACTTCGTTGAAACCAACGGTTGAACTCTCGGTGTGAAACGTGGTTAGTGGAGGATGATCTATGCGGAAGCCTATTTGTCTCTAATGCACTTAAACGCTCGCAAAGGCACATCGTACATAACTACCCCAGCCCTAAGCCGACTTGGGGAAACAGGCTAGTTAGTTACCACTTATCGGAGGAAATT